CAGAAATAGCTCTCAGGAGAGTGACTTAAAGACACTGTTTAAATTCCACGGTGTGATGGCCTTTAGGCAGCTTCTATATCAATCCAGTATGGTGACCATAGTCACTCATCTCACAAATATTAAGTGTTCGCTGTGTGCCAGGTACTATTTTAGTTCCTGGGAAGGTAGCAGGGGAAAAGAAAAATTAAAAACCCCCAGCCCTCTTGGAAGTTTACATTCTCCAAAACACGGGATATTTTTCACTTAAAACAAATTCATATCAGAACAACTATCCAGCTCATTGTCTAATCATCTGTAGCTGAGCTTTTCAAGCAGCAAATACGTAAGGACTCTCCATTAGGTATTTTCAATCTGTGTGTGTGTGTGTGTGTGTGTGTGTGTGTGTGTGTGTGTGACATTTAACTGTGCTTAAGGAGCTGAGTAAAAATAACAACTATTGAGTAAAAGTGATATTCACGCTAGATCAAATTCAGAAGTCTGAAATTTGTTCAGTGTCAAGTGTTGACTCAAGCATACAAATATGGTTGCAAATGGGCACGTATGTTTTTAAGTTTCAAAGTGACTTTTTCTTTTTTCCTAAAGTGAATCATTGTGCATGCCTTCTTACGAAGGCCACTTCATTAACTGAAGCTGATAAGTGGAAATGGAGTGAGAACAAAGTGACCATGACCTTGGATGATGAGGTTTGAACTTGGCAGACTGGGAGAGAAGCAGTGCAGTGCCATGAAGGGGAATACTGAAGTTAATCATGAGTAGAACTGCTTTTTAAATGGAGGATGATTAACTTGTTTTCAAATGTGCTAAGTGTGATGTGATAGGAAGATACTCAAGTTAAAAATATCCCAGCACAAAAATTCTAGAATAGGGCTTAGGAAAAATATCAGATCTGGAGTTAGTTGGGTATCATAGGGAAAAAAACAAACAAAAACAAACAAACAAAAAAAACCACCCAGAAGTTGGAGGAAAGTTGCGAGCTCTTCAGAAAAATGGCTTGGATGGTAAAGGGTAGGGAGACCTGAGGACTGAATCTTCAGTAATGGCTAAGAATTCAACCCCAGACCTCTGCTCTCCTTTCTCTCTCTTTAGATTCCAGGTGATCTCATCTGATTATAGAGCCAACTTGGCTAAATAAACATGTTCCCTCCTTGCACGCTTATAATTTAAATCTGCCCTGATATGAATAGGCATAAAGGTGCAAACAAAATAAAATACAGAGCAAATCCTTGAAGTAAACAATGAAACCATGGTATGTACAAGCAAAGAAATGAGAACCTCCCAGAGCTATGGAGAAGAGCTCTATGGGAAAATTACCTTCCTATCTTCTCGTTTGTGAAAATTTCTATCTAGGTTCATATTTGTAGGAAAAATACATTTTTGAAAGCTTTAGGAATCAGGTACGGCATACTTGAGGGAGAGCTCTAAGTGCTGGATGTAGTTTAAAGTAAGACTCAGAATCTCTGGTGACTATAACTTTATTTGAGTACTTCAGGAACCAGAAGCCAAAAAAGTTCTCCGCCCATGTTCATAGTTACTGAACAAATACATTTAAAAAGGAATAAACTCATAAATCAAGACAAAGATAGTATAATTGTTTGGGTTGTGGTTGCAAAGGATTTTGAAGAGCGTAACTCTCTTAGTGTAAAATGTTCTTAGAAGACTCAAAGACAGAAACAGACACACAGAGGCTAGGACAATGTTTTTGTTTTTGTTTTTAAACCGAAGATTTAAAATTTTAGTAGCAAAGTGAAGGAATGACAGGAGAGGACATGTGGCGCTGATAGGCTGACTGATGTGAACTGAAGTTGAGGAATGTATGTAGGACTCTTGCTGCCTTTCAGTGAAACGTGCAAAGCGGCACACCTAGATATCTGGGGGAGAATGCTCAATGGAGAAAGAGGAGGATTGGACTGGAAGTGGATCAAGGAAAACGAATGTTAAGAAGTCGATAGGCTAGTTGTCTGTGGCGCACTTTGACACTGGAAGCTGAGAGGGAGAGAGTTCATTCCAGGGACACTCAAAGGCTGTCTTGAAAAATTACATAATGAGTTCAAGCACAGGCTACAAGAACACTGCTGAGGCCATATGACCCTCACTCAATTTCAAAGTCCAAAGCTATTCGTAAATCAGTCTACAACTTGTGACCTGAAAGAGTTGTGGTTCCAAGTGGAAAATAGAATTATGAAAAGTTAGCCTGCTTTTCAATAACATAACAACCTGAGGAAACCACGCTTTAACTACCCTGTCTGTATGGGCTTAAAATTAGATCCTTATTATGTTATCTTGGCTTACTTGGGAACTTCTGGATTCTCCATTCTGATTTTAAACTATAAATGTATCCCCCCCACCCCCACCCCAACCTGCAAAAAAGGTACCACTTCGGTTCGGTTGCAGACACACGGGCTGGCCCGCAGGACACACCCTTCCATCCGCTGGAGGTCGGCTGACGCGGCGGCTGCTTCCTCACTGTGCACTGCTGTCACTAGAATTAACCAGCTTCATTTGTCCTTGGCTTCATTTCTCCATCCTCAGAAGCCTCCAGTTTAATAGCTTCTGTCCCGAACTCACGTTGAGATTGGAGCAGAAGACAGATGGCGATTTTTGTTAGGGAATCCTACCCACTACACTTTTTAATTTTATTTTTTTTTTATTTTT